CCTGATTTTTTTCCATATATTTTATCTAAAACAACCTGTGTGAGAATGAGACATGAAATCTGCCTGTCTTCTATTAAGTAGACATTAAAGATATTTACAAAAATGTAAAACGATGCCACAGTCCTTGCTATTTTTTCTAAAGACAATTGTTTTGCCCCAAAAAATGCTACTATGTTAATCTGTAATATATTTTTTTACTGTTATTTTGAAACTAGAGGCCCAGTGCACAAAATTCATGCACTTGGGGAAGGGGTGTCCCTCAGCCCAGCCTGCGCCCTCTCACAGTCCGGGAGCCCTCAGAGGATGTCTGACTTCTGGGTGAGTGGCACTCCCCTGTAGGAGCACACTGACCACCAGGGAGCAACTCCTGCATTGAGTGTCTGCCCCCCTGGTGGTCGGTGCGTGTCATAGCAACTGGCCATTCTGCTCTTCAGTCGATTTGTATATTAGCCTTTTATAATTTTGAAATGACGAAGTTTAATTTTATAACCTACCAGTTTTAATTTCTAATACAATAAATATATCTATATTTAGTCCACACATACAAAAACTCTTTGCAATCCTCAAATTTTTTTAAAATGTAAAGAGGATTAGAAAATGTAAAGGGGTTCTGAGAACAAAGTTTGGTAACTACTTTTCTATACTGCCTACGTATATACCCTTATTGCTTTTTTTCCCCTAGAGACTATCTCCTTTAAATTTAGAATGATGTACTAGTTAAAACTTTTGTTTTTAATACATATACAGGTTACTAAAGCTTGCGAGATACTAGAAGATAAATATCTTTAGTAAAAACACCTACCATTCTTCAGCTTTCCAAAGATCATAAACATAAGACAGATGAGAAATTTTAGAGAGAGTACCTTTCAGCATGGTTTAGGCCCTGAGTGAGGCTTTTATCCAGTGAGTGCTGCATCCTACATTCTCAGATCACTACGTAAGTCCACAATTAAATGTGGTGCCCCATTTTGATCTAAATTTCTACATTTGTAAAAGGAAAAGGTGTTATCTGAATAACCCCTAAGATCTCACAAATTCTATTTTACAGGCCATAGAAAAATAGAAGGTAAAGTTGGAGAAATATGCATTAGATTATAAATAATAGTATCTTTACAAATTGAAGGTTGGTGCCCCTGGTTATGTGATTTTTAATAGTAATTGAAAAGTTACTGAGAGACATTAAGTATGCACCCAAGATTAAAAACAGGTCTCTAGAAATCTCTGATGTGCAAAGATGTAGTGATTTTATATTTCAATTTAGGTTTGTAAAATACTTTATTCATCATACATTTTTAGTCTTCTTCCCAGACCTCCATCATCAAAATAACATATTTTTAAAGATCTCATAGTTAAAATTATAGAAGATAACTTTGGCTAAACAATCTTTATGTAGAACAGCATATATAGTATGTTTTAGGAGTGTGTTATTAATGAGAGGAGAGAAAGAAAAACCAGGAAATAAGTATACAAGGAACTGTCATGCGTTTCCATGAACTCGGCAGTGTTTGTTCTGTGCTTTGTTAATAAAACTTAGGTTATTCTCTCCAATGAAAAGTAAATGATGGCAAAACAGTACACTGAAGATTAACTGCAAGTCTAGAGTAACAACCACCCTAAACTTCCTCCTTGCCAAATGATTTTATTGCTCTCCCTCTGACATTGGTAATCTATTGAGATCACTTTACCCAGCAACATTTTATACATAAAATTAAAAAGAATAACAACTTAAATATATCAAGAACTAAAACTCAAACTGCAATGGTACATTTTAATTATTATAGTCCCAATAATTAGCAAAGTAAATCAGACAAATATGTTATTCTTTCAGTTACAGATAAAATTAATTTTAATGAAGATAAAAACTGTCTTGCCAAATAAAGGTAAATGCTAATTATTCTAATTACTTGTATTTGCAAAAGTTTACATTGTATTGCACAGTGTATACTGATTTACTGATTTTGCCAATAGTAAAGGGTCTTTGAAAACTACAAAAGATTTTACTTATATGGGAATTTTCCAAGAACCATTTGATTAAAGGTTAACCAATTATAAATAAAAATATCCTAAGTCATTAGTGAACTATTACTTTTAAAGCTCTTTAGAGTCCATCTTAAATTAATAATTTTAGGAATACCTTGTTTAAAAATAAAAATTGCTCATACATTAAAAAATACCTACAAGTGACAGAACAATGCGTAGGTTCAAGTGAAAACTGTACCAAGTGGAAAGCAAATTCATGTGTTACTGCTGTCATCTACATTACAGGGGAAGACTGAGTATGCCATGGTGCTCCGTAAGTACTCTGGGAGAACTCACAGCTTCTCATCACCTTTCAGGTAATACAGAACTCAGATCCAGCCTTCCTGCCTGAGTACATCTCCTTTTCTGCTAAGCATGGGGCAGTTAAGAAACCATGCCAGCTGCACAGCTGAAATGGAAACACAAATAGCTGCTCTCAGTCAGTGTGCTGGAGACACCACAGAATAAATCATCTATTTCCCTAATGGTTACCCACATGCCATCAATAATGAAAAAGCGTGTATTAATAGTCCTGTGGGACAAATGAACATAACTGCCTATGAAAATGTTGATAGTAATTGAACAGTTCAGACAGCATTTTAAACTGGAATTTAAATCTGCTTGAGCAGATATTTCAATTATACTGGGCAGCAACATAATCGTATTTTTGTGCGTTTTCCTTCACTTGAAGTATGGAAGACTTAGTAAATGTAGTAAACTCTTGACAGGAAAAAAAGATGATAGATTATTGTCACTCAGGAAACCAATCCAATTTATTCAAAGATGATAAATATCCATAAAGAAGAAAATGGTAAAAAAAAGAAAATCTACAAGGCTATCAATGCAAAACAGATGTTTGAATTAAGACAAAGAAATTCAGGAAGTTTCCTACTTACAAAGGGGTAATGTTCATTGTTAATGTTTTACTATAAACTGCATGGATGAACCCTATAATTTATTTTCTTATGAAATCAATGTTACAGAAGAAGTGTCTCAGGCCAGCTCATAAATGCATGAAATCCCAGTTCATGTTCTGGAAATTCTACACCTTCCTAATTCCAGTAACACCTATAAGAAGCAGTAACTGAAAATGTACTAATTTAGCAGCAGCCTATCTTATCAGGGAAAAACCTTAATTAGAATAAATTAGCAGAACTAGAACCTTCTTTAGGTGTATTCTAAAATGAGTGTAAAAGGGCCTCAGGCCGAAACCGGTTTGGCCCAGTGGATAGAGCATTGGCCTGTGGACTGAAAGGTCCCAGGTTCGATTCCAGTCAAGGGCATGTACCTGGGTTGCGGGCACATCCCCAGTAGGATCGATGTTTCTAACTCTCTATTCCTCTCCCTTCCTCTCTGTAAAAAATCAATAAAATATATTTTAAAAAAGGGGGGGCCTCAGGCATCCCTGAAGTGACTAAATTAAGAATTAGAAAAATTTTAGAATCTCTGAGTAATAAATAAGTTCTGAATTAATGAAAAACAGAGATAGAAATACATTTTCCTGAGGTAAGTGACAAGAGAGGGGAGATCACAGCAGAGTGTTGGGTTAAAGATTCCTGTACCCAGCACCAAGTCACATTGTTAACCCAGGACAACTTGGTTAGTAAGTCCTCAGAAGGCGAGGGGCGTGAAATGGGCCGAGGAGGCAGGTGGTGTGCCAAGATCTGTTTGTAGATGTTCACAGGCTGGCTGGCTTTCATCATTTCAAGTTAACTATTAATGGGAGGCAGTGTCCCGGGCCTTGGTCTGTTAATAGCTAGGTGGCTTTTGCCAACTCTGCCTCTCCAAATACGTTTTCTCATGCGTTTAAGGGGATGAGACAGGTAAGTGCAAAACTGCTGAGATCAAATGTAAAGCACAGTATTCGTAAATGTAGTTACTTCTGGGAGGCAAAACGTAAGGTACTGTCAGGGCAGAGTCAGCGAAAGTAAGTGCAAGTTCTCCTAGGCTTGGATTGACTGAGTACTTGCACACAGGAAGTAACTGGAGCAATGCCTTATTTTACCGCCAAAACCCAGCTCAGGTAGAAGCTGCTTCAGAAAGTCTTCCCTGGACCTCTACTCCCCTTTGCCAATCATGCCATATTCTGCACTTGGTACAAAGTAACGGGGCACGTACTATTATAGGATAACTCATTTGCTTTCCATAGACTCTGAGTTCCCTGATGAGCGTGACTTCGTCTTGTTCAACTCTCAATTTTCAGTAGGGAGCAGTGCCTGGCACATAGTCAGTCGCTGTAACAATCACTGAATTGTGCAGTCTATGCCTTAAGTAGGATAATTTATGACATAACTCTGGGACGACTAAATGTTCGAGTTTAGTGGAACTAAAATGTAACCTTTTAGTAAAAGATAGGTGATTGATCGAAGCATGTATTAATCTGTGCCCAAGAAACTAGGAGAGGATCAATGAAAATCAAACATCAACACTTAAAGCCCAGGTCCTCTGGTGCAGTTCCATTCAGGTAATAGTACACATACCTATGCAAAAGCTGAGGAATAAAGGACTTGTGCTTGGTCAGGAGACCTTGGGTAATAATACCCGTAAAGCGACTTGCAGAGAATTGTTCACAAAGATCGACAGCAAAATCGACTTCAATTGCATGGGGAGGATCTCCTGCTGTTTCTTAAACATCCAAAACTTCCTGCCCTGAAACCCGAAGGTGTAAACCTGTTAGAGACGTGGCTGGGTCCGGGCTATACTACAAGCCTCAGACCTCGAAGCTGGGATTTTTATGTCACTTTTCATCCGTGTGCGGGAAGTGCGGGGGTGGGACGGGATGATTTCTATATATTGGTTTGCACTCGTTACTAGAAAGACCACTGACAGGTTTAGGCACCGTCCCAGCAGGGCACCGGAGGCCTAGGTACTGTTTCCACAAAGGGCGGTCCATCT